TCAATGCTGTTTATCCCAGCACTCTGACAGATTTGTATTTCCTTTATTCCTTATTAGGAGCTCTGGTGGCATAGTGGAGAAGGCATTTGGCTGCTAACCAGAAAGTCAGTGGTTCAAACCCTAGCCCCTGGAAGTGTGCCTGGAACATTGTTCCTCCTAAAGGAGTACTGGATGAATAAATGAAGTAAAGAGACATTTCATCACTCACACACTCATAGCTGTATCTGGGGTTTTCTCCTTGAAGGTGCTGCCTCTGCATACTCCTAGGACTCGGCATCACCCAAAACCAACCATAGCCTCCTTGGAGAAGGTCCCATCTCTAATCTCCCCAAGCTTCCTGCTTTCATCACTGGGACCTTCATGTGTTTCTCTCTGTCTTCTCTACTTCACACACTAGACCCTTCATAAACCCCCAGGCAACTGACTATTCCAATAGAATCCAAAAATTTTAGAGTCAGAAGGAACCAAATAGAGCCAGGAATCAGCCAACTATGGCCCACTGTCTGTTTCTGTAAATAAAGTTTTATTGCAACACAGCTGTGCTCATTTGTTGATGGACTGTCTATGGCTACTTTGTCACTACAGTGATAGAGTTGAATAGTTGCAACAGAGACCATATGGCCCATAAGACCTAATATATTGACTATCTGGCTCTTTTCAGATAAAGTTTTCTGATGCCTGAAATACACCATCTGATCCAAACACACCATTTTACTGTTGAAGACACTGAGAGCCAAAAATGTTTATGTACCAGAGCCAAGGATTTACTGCCACATCCAGGACTCAAATTCAGTTCTGCAGAATCCCAAGCCAGACTTTCTCCCTCATACCATACGATTCTCTTCAGCACCCAACCCCCCCCCCAACCAAACTCCCTTTGCAATCCTGGATGGTCACTCTTATCACCAGCTTTCTCTCCACTGCCTCAGAGAAGGCCCACAACTCTTTCTCCATCTCCTCCTGGGCTCTGGGCCCAACAAACTTCCCGAGTTGACTTGCAGGCTTAACTTGCTTTCTCCCCTTGTAGACTTACAGTGCCACCCCACACACCTTCACTTCTAACAGCATAGCGAAGACTAAAATGGCCAGTGCCCTGTTTGAGTTCAACATCTCCCCTTCTGTTCACCTCAGGCCACCTGGCCAATGGTTAGCAAACCTGGCCTGCTCCAGATTATCCAGGGGAGCTTGTTTAGGACACATGACACGGCCCCCACTGCCGTCACCCGCCTTATGAACCAAATCTCTGAGCGTGAGATCAGGGCCTTTGCAATTTCTACAAGCTCCCCATACGCTTCATATATTCCACAAAGTCTAAAAACCAGTTCACTAAACCATGACCTCCTTAAGCTTCCTTCAGCTTTGAGTCACCACAGAATAAAATAGGTAACCAGCACAACATTGTTCTCTTTCAAAAGCTGTAAGAAAAATGCAGTATTTTCCCCCTCAGCATTATCCACCCCATCCTTAACTCAAAAACAAAATAACAAAACAACTACCATCAAGTTGATTCCAACTCATAGTGACCTCTGTAGGGTTTCCAAAGTTTCCTTCAGCTTTGAGTCACCACAGAATAAAATAGGTAACCAATACAACATTGTTCTCTTTCAAAAGCTGTGAGAAGAATGCAGTATTTTTTCCTCTCAGCATTATCCACCCACTCAACTCAAAAACAAACAAACAAAAAAAAAACTACCATCAAGTTGATTCCAACTCATAGTGACCTCTGTAGGGTTTCCAAGGCTACAAATCTTTATGGAAGCAGACTGCCTCATCTTTCTCCCACAGAGGAGCTGGTGGATTCGAACTGCCAACCTTTGCGGTTAGTAGCCCAATGCCTTAACCATCGCACCACCAGAGCTCTTTCCTTAGTTTAAGGCCCTAAAATTCTTTCCCATCTCCATCTCCTCCAAAGAAAACATCACAAATAGCACTATTTTCCTCGTCTGAGTAGACAAGATAGGAAGACTTTTAAATGAGTTGCTGGCAAAGAATTCATGACCTTATAGACTACTGAGGTCAGAGCGATGAAGAGAAGGCAAGGTTGAAAGGAGAGAATAGGGACATAGAAAATTGCAGAGGCTGGAGTCCTGGGAACCGGCACTTTTTCTCCTTGGTAAAGGTGTTCCTTGGAAGGCTCCTCTTCAGTATTCATCAGGCGCTGGCTGTGCCCCCTAGGCCTGCGCATTGAACATGAAAGACAGCAGCCGTAGGGCAGTTCTGCAGTGGAGATGCAGCCCCCGGGGATGGCCTCATGGGCCCTGCTGGGGGGAGCCTGAGCAAAGGAAAGGCAGGGTGGGGTGCCACCTCTGGAAAACAACCCAGAGGGAGATCTGTGAGCCCTCAGGGATGGTTTCCAACGGAGATGGACACATGGTGACAAAAATAAGTCCTGCCCACCTAAGACAGTAGAATTCAATTTCGTTTCAAGTCAGTTGTATTTATCGAGTGCCTGATTCAGTTTAGGTGATGGAGAGGAGGAGACAGACACTCTAAGTAGCAGGCTGATTCATCACCAGCTCCCTGGGAGTCTGCCCCACAGGTCCACAGGTCCAGAAATTCGATTTTATCCACTTCACCCAGTAAACAATTGGTAAATCTTAGTCAGTCTCTTGAACAGATACTTATTAAGGGCTTGCAGCTTGCCAGGCACTGTCCTGGGGCTGCAGCTGGAACGGTGAACCCAGCCGTCCTGTGTCCTGTCCTCGTGGAGTTTACTTTCTAGTGGGGCATCTGCAGTACCTGCGTGTAAGGCCAGAGAAGTCCTCTGTGGTGGAGCTCAAAATGGGAAGGGTCCGTGTGTGGTGGAGGTATGATTTAGGGTGGAGTGGGTTTTGCACTGTGGTTTGAAGGGTAAGTGGAGTGTGGATTTGTAAAGATACGGAAGGAGACTCCTCATAGAAGGAGGCTGAACGGCATGAGCTGGAGTTAACATGATGTGCCATGAAGGGCCCATGACTGGCTCAGCTGTGCTAACAGGTGCATTCTGGGAAGTTGGACAAAAGAATGTCAATACCACATGGAGCTAAGCTGCATAGGCCATGCAGTCAAATAATTTGAGAGTCTCAGCTCTGTTGTTTTTAGGTGCCATCCGGTCACAGTGACCTTGTGTACAACAGAAGCACTGCCCGGTCCTGTGCGGTCACAATCATTGCTGTGCTGGAGCCCATTCTTGCAGCCACTGTGTCAATCCCTCTTGTTGAGGGTCTTCCCATTTTTCACTGACCCTCTACTTTACTAAGCATAATATCCTTCTCCAGGGACTGATCCCTCCTGACAACATGTCCAAAGCCAAGAGGCAAAGGCTGACCATCCTCGCTTCTAAGGAGCTCTCAGCTCTAATCCTTGCTAAACTTGTGATCCAGGACGTGTTACTTAACCTCAGTAAATGTCATTCTCCTGATCTATAAAACGGGCACAATCATATCTAGTTCACAGGGTAGAACGAAGCATTTAGATGAGCTCATGAATGGAACTGGCAGAGATGTAAGTAAAAGGCTTCGCTGTTGAATATTATTAACATGGCATAAGTAGGTTTGACTCTAGGCAAACTAGAACCTGCCACAAAAACTTTTCTTGGAAAACCCTTGACATCAACATCATGCAAGATTAGCTACCTTTCGCGGTTTACCATCTTCTTCTTCCTCCACGGTAGCCAAGTGGGAATGAAGATCAGGACCACCAAGGCTAAATTGCACTTGCACGGCCTGACCCCCTCTTTATACCCTAGGCACCTCACTTGCCTAACCCTTGTCCCAGCCCTGCTGCATGGTAGAAAACCTTTTTGATCTCCAGTGTGTTTCTGAAAGTGTGGTACTTGGTCCACCAAAATCAGAATCACAGGTGCTGCTTATTAGAATTTTCGTCTGGACCCCTCTGCAGTCAGAATCTCTGAGGAGGGGGCCAGGGAGTCTGCATTTTAAAGCCCCCTCCACCCTAGTGTTCCCCAGGCCCTCTGACAATTCCTTTACTTTGCGTGGTCACCAGACCAATAGCATCAGCATTATTTTAGCACCTGTTAGAAATACAAATTCGTGAGCCCCTCCCCAGATGTACTGAATCAGAAATGTGAGGGGTGGGGCCCAACAGACTGTATTTTAACAAACCCTCCAGGTGATTAAATTCACAGGGCGAGTGGGATAAACCACCCAGCCTCACCCCAGACCAATTAAATCTTCATCTCTGGGGCTGACTGCTGCTGCCTGTATTAAAAAAAAAAAAAAAAAACTCCTCTGGCAATCCTGACCTGAAGACAGAATTGATAATCACTGGAAGAAAAAGGAAGATTGGCAGAACGTATCACAGTTATAATTCACTTTTAGGTTTTGTCTCAGTTAATTCTTGCAACAAGCCGGACGCCCTGCTGGGATCCATTAGCAAGGAAACTGAGTCTCCCAGACTTCACAGCACAGGCATGGCCCAGGTCCCAAGAGCCTGCTCTGCTGGCTGCTACTGGATGCTGTCAGGCTGGCTTTCCGGGAAGGCTGTGGACTTGGCTCTCTGTGCCTTTTCCAGGTGCTAAAGCCTGTTGGCAGCATGGTGCTTGGGCAGAGCTGAGGCCTGGGGATGGGGAAAGAGCTAGAGGACACCTTAGGCTTGGGCCCGGAATCAGGGAGCTCATGTACCCATCACACCAGATCTTTGTTGGGTCTGGTCCTGAGCACCAGTCTCTGTGCTTGGTGCTTTAAGTGAGTCATCTGGTTTGTGTTCACATGATCCCTCGGAGGGATAATACTCACAGAATAGTTACATCCTATCAGTTGGTAGTCACAGCCCTATTTTATAGATGAGAAAACTGAGGGCCAAAGATTCCAAAGAACCCGCTCCGGCGTCCCCGATGGCGTCAGGATGCCTCCAAAGGCTCTCCTGCTCCGGAATGCAGAGGCAGGGTCCCCAGGGAAGGGGGGTGGTACGCCGCAAGCAGGAGGTGGGGCTGAGCGGGGCAGCCCCTGCCACCATGGCTGCCCTAACAGCGCGTCTCCGCGTCCCTCCCCTTGCTGCAGGCCCTTCCTCGTGCTGCCACCGCTGATGGAATGGATCCGGGTGGCCGTGGCGCACGCCGGCCACCGCCGCAGCTTCTCCATGGACAGCGACGACGTCCGCCAGGCGGCCCGGCTGCTGCTGCCCGGAGTGGACTGCGAGCCGCGCCAGCTCAGGTAGGGCCCGGGCGGGGCGGGGCTCCCGGAGGAGGCGGGCCGGGCGGGGACCGGAGGAGGACGCCAGTCTTCAGGGGACCCTCCCAGCGGGCGTCCCTGCAGAGGAGGGAGGCGTCCGGGGCGTCCCGAGGGTGCTGGACTAATTCCATCCACCCCTCCAATCAGAATGCTAGAGGGCAGCCTTCGAGCTACAAACGTTCCCACCACCGAGACTGAGCCCAAGTGGTTTGAATGGCAGGCGCGGGCTGAACAATAAGCAGGTCCCTGGAACTCCAGGGATGAGGGAGTACAGGTGCAAGGTTCTCTGAAGAAATGATTCCTAGATGACAAGATATCTGTGTGTCTGTTTTCTCCTCTGCTTTAATCATTTTCTGTTCCGTTCTGTTCTATTTTCCCCACAAGAAGTAAAATACCATCTCTTAGTTTTCTGATAAAGCCTTGCAGAAAACATTTTCTGGCTAGGTAAGAGAGCACTTCCATTTTCTGACATGCTTGAGGATGGAGGTGCCCTCCCCCGATTTCTCACCTGTATCCAGGGCCCTCATCCATCAGGGTGAGAATTATTCCTGGGTTTGATACAGGCCCCATGAAGGTGGACTCCTTCTTATCCATTGCAAACAACAGCCCACTCACTCAGGTGAGTCATCACCTGGCTGTACGTGCAAAAAGCCCAGAAGCCCAGCAGTGTGTGTGTGTGTGTGTGTGTGTGTGTGTGTATACACAACAAGCTTTCTGCACTACAGTTTGATGCCCAGTTTCCAGGGGGCTTCGTCATCATTTTAAAATCCCTATCCTGATGAGAAGCATGCACTTGCTATGAAGTTCATCCACCCGGATTACATGGTCAGGTTGCTGCTAACTGTGTGCACTTGCAGGATCTGATTAGGGTCTGCAAGGAAATGAAAGATCTGCAGTACAAAACAGCCCACTGAGGGTGGAGAGCTGCCCCTCAACCTCCGAGCATGGAGGGGGCTGATCAGAATAATAATTGCTGGTTTTTACTGGGAGTGTGCTCTGGTACCATAGTCCCTACAGCATTTGACTGCTAACCAGAAGGCTGGAGGTTCAAACCTACCAGCCACTCCTCGGAAGGAAGACTGGATAGTCAGTCTATTTCCATAGAAATAGTGCCTTGGAAAGCCAAGGAGGGATTGCTATGAGTCGGAACCGACTGGACAGCAGTGAGTTTGTTTGTTTTTGTTTTGGGTTTACTGGATGTTTACCATGTGCTGGGCTTTACAAGTGCTTTAACTGTTCCCAAAAGCTGTAAAGCAGCACAGTTATTAGGTTGTAGATGAGGAAACTGAGGCACAGAGTGGTTACGTAACATCCCCACAGTCACAGGAACGGTAAGTGGTCGGGCCAGGATGTGAATTCAGGGAGTGCATGAGTCAGCAATGAGCTCAAACCTAGGAGTGATTGTGAGGATGGCACAGGACCAGGTGTTTAGTTCTGTGGTGCATATGGTCGTTGTGAGTCAGAGCTGCCTGGACAGCACCTAGCAACAACAGCAACGCGGAGCACTTGGCAAACAGTGCCTAAAAGGAACTAAATGCTCAGTACATGATCGTTATTAGCTACCATTGCTCCAAGTCTCCACTGTTGTTAGTTGCTCATGGCCACCCCCAAGGACCTCTGGTAAGACTGCTAACCAGGTCAGCAGTTCAAAACCACCAGCTGTTCTGCAGGAGGAAGATGAAGCAGTCTACTTCCGTAAAGACTTACTGCCTTGGAAACCCGGTGGGGTTTGCTATTAGTCAGAATTGACTCGATGGCAGTGGGTTTGGGTCACGGCCACCCCATTCATGTATGCAGAGTAGAACTGCTTTATAGGGTTTTCAAGGTTGTCACCTTGTTAGCCAAATATGTGGGCCTGTGCCTGGAGCAACACAGAGCCAATTCAGTCACACCAAGAGAAGAAAGAGTTTAATCACTTACACATAAGTGGGGAACGGACAGAGTTTCAGATATTCCCAAAGTTCTCCCACCTCCAGTGGGCAGATAGTTAACACAGGTGGAGGTAAAGCTTACGATTACGTATATACATTCCATCCCCAAGGACCAGAGCTCGTTAACCCATGAGAAGGACAGAAAGCCCCTAAGTTAATGACTCAGATGGCCATGAGCCTTACCTCTTAGCCCCAGAAGACATCAACACCAGGTGCAGTCTATTTTTCACAAGGCTGACCTCTCTGGAATATCTTAGGCTATATTCCTGGTGTCTTTGGGTTTTGTGCCTCTAGGTCTGAGTACTCTTTCACAAGGCTATTTTGAACATTAAGTATCAACCTCTCAGAAGCAGATCTCCAAGGCTTGTCTTCCAAGGCATCTCTGGGGTGGATCCAAACTGCCAGCCTTTTACCTGGTAGTCATTTGTCTCATAGAAAATTTTAAATTATCCAAAATGATCATTTGTGTGTAGAAAATGCACTGGTTGATGGCTCCAGCTAAATTTTCATCAAGATTCGGAAAACATTTTCAACAGAAAATTAAAACGTAGGGTCCCATTCTGTCCTAAATAATAAGGATGAGACCTGTAAGTTCCATTAACTAGACTAAATTTGTTGCTTGAAAGGATGAGCCAATTAAAGTTATTATTTGATCAACATATATACATATTATTTCCCATACCATTTAATGGGGCACGAAGTAGGAGTTACTGCCGCCATTTTGCAGGTCACAGAATCAAAATGTTGTTTCAGTCAGGCATCCCACAATAGATTTTAAGCATTTAATTGCACCGTGCATTGATAGTCCTCACGGAGTTTAAAGCCGTCCCTAATAACTGTGCAAGGCGGACTTTATTATCCCATACTATGGATAAGTAGGCTGAGACTCGGTGTGTTTATGGAACTTGTCCAAGGTCATCCAGCTAAGTCATCTGTGAAGCAGAGCAGTCTAGAATGGGGGAATTGGTGAGCTGAGGCAAAAAATACCTGCCTTGACTCTCTGCCTTGACTCTGAGTTGTCAGGTGGACTCACTCTTCGTTCTTAGTGAGTCAGAGCTGAACTCTCCTCTCTAAATAAACAGCCCTGGGAAGGTGCAGTAGTTTGGCATTATAACAAAGGCAGGAACTTGGGATGTGGTGTTGGAGGCTGGAGTGCCAGTGACTATTAGCACACATAATTACCTGCCAGCTGGCCACAGCTTCCTGAGGAGAGGCAGCCTGGATACCAGCCTGGACTGAGGAGCTGGAGTCAAGGATTTCCAGGTCTGATGCTAGACTTGCTATTGATTTTCAGAGTGACCTTGGTCAAATGCGGCCAGAGCTCTGCTTTTGTCTTTATTCAGCCATAGTGAACCCTCACCATGATGATGGGGTGTATTCAAAAAGGAACACAGTGTGATGCAACTGCAGTGAGTGTCTAAGCTGAAAGGCGTGACTCATTTCCAAACCAAACCCACTGCTGTCTAGTTGATTCTGACTCATAGCGACCCTATAGGACAAAGTAGAACTGCCCCATAAGGTTTCCTAGGCTATAATCTTTAGGGAAAACGACTGCCACATCTTTCTCCTATAGAGCAGCTGGTGGGTTCAAACTGTCAACCATTTTTGATTCGTAACTAAGCACTTAACCACTGCACCACCAGGGCTCCTTGTGACCCATTTATTCTTCTTTAATTAAAATAGTGGTTAAGGCATTTGGCTGCTAACCCAAAGGTCAGTAATTCAAACCCACCAGCCACTCCATGGAAGAAAGATGAGGCAGTCTGCTTCCATAAAAAATTTACAGTCTTGGGAACCCAATGGGGATCTCTGTAAGTTGGAATTGACTTGATAGCAGTGAGTTTGGGTTTTTAAGTTTGGGGTTTTTTTCAGTAATTTAAGTTTCAGATAATCTAAACTTGGGGAAACCAGCTTTTTTCTTTAATTTTTCTGATCCTTTGTTAGGGAGGAACAAGGGCTGATAGAGGGAAGGAAGGAAGGAGAAAACAAATAATACATGGAGGGAGCTCTGGTGGCGTAGTGCCTAAGGCATTGACTGCTAACCAGGAGGCTGGCGGTTCAAACCCACCAGCCACTCCTCGGATGGAAGGTGGGGCAATCTACTTCCATAGTGATAGTGCCTCAGAAACCCAATTAGGGGTCACTATGAGTCGGATCAGACTCAACAGCTGTGAGTTTGTTTTTTTAGTTTAGCAGGCTTTGGGAGCTCTGGTAGTGTAGTGCCTAAGGCACTTGACTGCTAACCAGAAGGCTGGTGATTCAAATCTACCAGGTATTGCTCGGAAGGAAGGTTGGGCAATCTACTTCCATAGTGATAACTGCCTCAGAAACCCAAGGAGGGGTCACTGCGAGTCAGATCTGACTCGACAGCAGTGAGTTGGGTTTTTGTGAGGGCAGGCTTTATACATTTTCTTCTTAATTATTGTTTTTGAAACACTTCATAAATATAAAGAGTACATACCATTTTCCCCATGTTAGTAAGAGGCAGTATTTCTCCTCTGGAGTGACCCAAATCCCACTGCCATCAAGTTAGTTCCAACTCATATCAACCCCCACTGGGCTTCCAAGGCTGTAAATCTTTACAGAAAGAGGTTGCCTCATCTTCCCCCCATGGAGCAGCTGGTGGGTTTGAACCACTGACTTCCAGGTTAACAGGCAAATGTTTTACCCACTATGCCACCATAGGTCCTTGCTCTGGAATGAAGGCAGTGTTAAAACAAAGGTAGTATGAGGTATTCCTAAGTCCTTACTCAGCCGGTAAATGGAAGCTACCAACAGAATTTAGAACCATTAGAACTATGAGCTTGTTGCAAAATATGGTTAATCTTTTGGCAAATATTTCTTGAACTCAGACCAGATTTTGAGCTGTCATAGAGTGGAAAAACTCAGAGTGGTCAAGGACAAAGATACCGGTAACAATAGATGGACTCAGACATACCAACCATGAGGATGGTGCAGAACCAGGCAATGTTTTGTTCTTTCATACATAAGGTCACCATGAGGCTGACCCAACTTGACGGTGGCTAACAATAAGGTACAAAGAGTCTTCTA